TTCAATTCTTCTCAGCAAGAAAGAGAGAAAGAGGAAGAGAAAAATGCGTTTTCATTGTGAATTCGAAGCACGAGTGCAGCGAGCAAACAATCCTTTCACGCTGCGTCAGAAACAAAAATATTCGATTCTTCCATAAACATAGGCACAATATAAATTGGGTCACTTTTAAAATTACATTAACGCGGATATCAACAAATCCGTACAGGAGAGAGAGAGAGAGATGGAGGGGAGAGAGAGAGAGAGAAAGAGAACGATTCTACACAAAAGACAGTTGCAAACGAAGAAAACAATGAATGTAGATCGCCGAGAGTGATTAACTGTATCGTTTCATAGTGGTGGCCACAAATCGTGAATATTAATTATAGATTAACGTGTACTTTCAAATACTTTTGTGCCACCGCATTATTTCTCCTTAATGTAATTAAATCTGGGAATTATTAATTAAAGTGAAACGTTGAAATGTAATTATGACAGAGTTACATTGATGTTATTTGAGAGCTACCTCAAATCCCCCACTATAATTTAGTGCTGAATGTGACCGATAATTTAGGGATAAATGTGACAATTTAATTTTCATTTCGAGGCTTAAGCGTTGCGCATAAAAGTCGCAAATTAACGTAAATCATTCGTATTTAATATTCAACGATGGAAAAGCAATTATTCGGTTTCGATATTGAATGTGATAATGCTCGCAACGCGATTTGCGTGCGCTCGACGAGCGAACGCCACAATAAAAGAATTATTTTTCATCGCGGCCGTTAAATGATCGAGAGAAACTGCCGGTACGAATGTTATGCGAGTAAACGGATCCACTTTCCCGCCGCGATTTCCAGGATAGGAAATCCAGGATAAGAAGCTTCTGTGGGATAGAGGGGCACGGAGAAAAATTGAAGAGAGAGAGAGAAAGAGAGAGATCGAGCAGAAAATAAATAGAAATAAAACTTTCGACGTCTCGCGCGACACGGCTTCTCAGCGGCCGAAAACAAACTTCGAAGCTGCTTTTCGTTTTTATGAGGAACGGGTCACAGTTGCAGGCGGCAAAATAAGACTGCCGCCTTTTCTTCGCGTTTGTTTTTCCACGATAAAAAGCACCCGACGAATCGTGCAACTCGCGGAAACGAATAAACTTACTTGCGGCTTTTCATCCCGTAAACACATCGGTACGATCGTAACTAGCAGAACTCAACCTACAACGCGAATTAAGGTTCTTATTAATAGTTGTTACCTGAAATTGTCTCATGAGATGCTCAGATTTTTACTCAGATTATATCCAAGTTTCTTAATTGAACTATGATGCATACTGAGAGAAAAATAAGAAAAATATTTATTAAAAAAAAAAATAAGATATTTATTCAGTAGGAACTAATAATCTAAATTCTAAATTATTTTATTTAAGTAAAATAAACAATTGCTCTTATGAAAAACTAAAATCTTAAATATATATTCTCTCATTTGAAAAATATTTTATATTAATATAAATAAATATGTTATAAGTACTCACCAAATAAATATTTTTTTTATTTCTTAAATATTTTTACTTTCACAGTGTATATGTGACTTTTATATGTAATATTTACTTAATATGTAATTATATATGTAATACGTAACTATTAATACGTAACTATATATGTAACATTTATGTAATATGTAATTATATATGTAATCGATTTAACTGAAAAACTTTCTTATAGACCTTATCTTTCTCTTAATTAGTTAATTAATTCTCTTGATATATTCTTTCAGATCTAGAGGAAAATAATTATGTATATTCTTTGATATATAGTTTTGAAAAACTCTCATCTAACTCTGTATTAAAATCTAAGTATTTCATTTGAGATGGGATTCATGTAATAACTATTGATACAAGCCTAAATCTCTGATGTTTCTTCGCGGAGTAATATACCGCTAAGTAACACATAACAGCACAAAAATCACGCAAAAATGGGGTCGATACAAGTGATCGACGAAGAATATAAGTAATAATTGTTCTACATCGTATCAACGTACACAATAATTCAATGGATAGAAATTATAAATATAAATTAGAAATTAAACCAAAGAATGAATATATAAGTTTGGAGATGTGAGGGAACAGAACTACATTCCGTCTACCACAGACATCGATGTGACGAGAAAAATCGATCGACGAACATCCGGCGATCCATCTAACGTAACGCAAGGAAAATATTGTGAGAGCCCACATATCCTCCCACTAAATGCAATTGTCGTAATGCAGACACGAAAGTAAATTCGCCCGCGAGTAAATTAAAGTTCAACGCGCGGTACGTGCGCGCACCCATTCATAGAGAACTGCTCGGCGCAATTTACATTATAGCCATCTAATTTATCATACACGCCGTCATTACTTCAAGCCGGTCGCGAAATAACGGTTATCTACTAATATGCGTATAAAAAATACGAACCAGCGGACGTGTTCTTTCGTAAATTCGCGAATCTTTAATAGGTCGTGTTCAACGTCTCGTATAATTAAGGCACAATTAAGGAAGCGCTTGACGATTATTATTCGTAATATTCGGAAGTTGTCGAGTGAAGCTTTGAGAACGTGAATAGAAAACGAGTACCAGTTGGTAAATTCGAGAACGCGCGACTTCACTAAGAGAAATTTAACTCGAGATTCGATTAAGAAATTGAAAGCAGAGAAAGAGAGAGAAGGGAGGGAGAAGAGGAAAACTCGGATTAAATTTCTACTAAATAAATAAGTATATATAAGCTTACTAGTTTAAAATTACTCAATCGAGGGATTCCATTAGACATACTTTCTGCATCGTGAGAATTTCAACATTAATACGAATAATATTACAGAATTTGCAGCTACGTTGCGTCATTAAATCGCCGTTTATACGTGTCGATAGAGATATGTTCACGTAAACATAGCAAGTCAAGAAGAGCGTGACTGTAATTCGCACAAAAAATGTACACGTCAAAGACGAATAGCAAACACGAAGACTATTATGGTTTTTAGCGTAGAGCTATAAAAGCTATTAATCGCGTGATGTTTCTCAGTACTAAGAATAATTGTCGAGTAAAAGTGTTATGTATTCATACTTATAATTTCTCGGTTGACATAATACACGTAGCGCCGTGTGCTTCACGCTCGCTTTATTCAATTATTAATGCGTTTGCATTCAGTGCACGCGTTCGTTTGACAGAAGTAGCCTGCGAGTGTGTTAGCTCGTGGAAACGCCGCGGCAAAATGCCAACGATAAATTCCACTTAATGCTTGTAATTAAATTCACTCACGACGTGCGTAAGTTCATTCACAATGAAGTAACGAGCACGCGTGTCTTTCGGAGCCGGTGATTGCATTGTATACAAAAAAAAATGAACACTCGCGCCTTGTATATAAAAAATGTAAACACGTACGCTTTCCCGAAGCGCGTCAGCCATGCGTCAGACATAATATGATCAGCTTTGATATAATCAATCTCCGAGTCGGAAATGTTTTGATAATTTTTCCGAGCGCCTTGGCGATATACCAGGTGTAGAAGTATGAAACCGGAATTCCCCTATAAATGGTGCCAGCGTTCAGTTTAGTGACCGTAAGACCGCTACTGCCGCGCTATTATATTCTCCTAACAGCTGACGAATATTGTCAACAAACATAACCCCAACTTTCATTCTCTAGTATATTTTTGTATAACCTTAAACATGTCACGTTTCGAGCCTACTAACTATGATTTGCGGACAGCATTGATTTTCTGTTATCATTTAAAGAAAACTGCTGCAGAATCACATCGAATGCTTGTCGAAGCTTACGGTGAATATGCTCTTGGTAAATCTCAGTGTTTCGAGTGGTTTAAAAAATTCAAAAGTGGTGATTTTGACGTGAGGAACGAAGAACTATGAACTATGAACTATGAACTATGAACTGCTGAAACCTGGTCAAACCGTCAATACTAATCGCTACCAACAACAAATGATCGATTTAAATCGAACATTGACTAAAAAACGACCAGAATATGCAAAAAGGCAACACAATGTCATTTTGCTCCATGATAATGCCCCATCACATACAGCAAAACGGGTCAAGGAAACGATCGAGTCGTTCAGTTGGGAATTACTACCGCATGCGGCTTATTCTCCAGACTTGGCTCCGTCCGATTATCACCTGTTCGCATCGCTAGGACACGCTCTCGCTAACCAACGCTTCGATTCGTATGAAAATGTGGAAAAATGGCTAGATAACTGGTTCGCTTCAAAAGATGAAAAGTTTTTTTGGCACGGCATTCATAAACTGCCAGAGAGGTGGGAAAAATGTGTTCAAAACAGTGGAAATTATTTTGAATAAAGTATTATTTATCACTTTCGAACAACAGACGTCTTATTTGTATAAAAAAATTCCGGTTTCATACTTCTACACCTGGTATTTGCGTATCTATGCATATGAAATACACTTCGATATCGTCACAGTAATCCACGCTTATTAAATTAACAGGAAACGCATGAAAAGGTAAAGCCAGATAAAAGAATTTGCCTGTTGCTGAAATGATTGAATATACGACTGCATATGTATGAATGTAAAAACATGAATGTAGGATAGCGCATAAGAGCGTCATACTAAATCTAATAGCACAATAGAGTGTGTAGCAAAGTCATTGTCCATTCTGAAAATTTGCGTGACAAGCGTACGCGACAATATTGTGTTCGCAAGAGTGGACAATGCAGATCGCCACTGTAGATCTGTACTCGCCATCGCCTAAGATGGCGTATCGGTAATGCTATTCACCGAGTAACGAATTTTGCGCGAGTTTCGGTAAAGTGCGATCTACTCTTCTCGATTGAATTATCCCAAGGATGATCTTCCGGGAAAGTCTCCCATTTATCACCTCGATCGACTGAGAGAGAAGGCGAAGGAGAAGAATAAAAGGAGAAATGTGCAATTTTGTTTAGAAATTTCCACCTTCGACTTCAGTGCGAGCGAGACGGCTTTAAGTCAAGGAAAAAAAACAGGCAAATCAAGTGCCGATAAAGTTGCTCACCTTTCTCGAACGCCTCCAGCGACGAATCGTCCTTCCGAGGCGTCCACTCGCACTTCCTCTCGCGCACCAGCCCAGTGCAGCGTGCAGTTACCGGTGCAGTCCGCTCCGGATAAACAAAAACACAAACTCGCGACTCGTTCGGTCCCCTTCTCTCCGGGACGATGTGTCTCTCTCTCGCACGCGACGGCGGCGGCGGTATCACTCGCGCCGCGATTCTCCTTTTTCTCGTATCTGTTCGCGAGAAAACACGCGACTGGAGCGAGCGAGACAGCGAACGGCGGCCGCGAAGGAGCGGATGAGCGAGCGAGCGAGAATGAGGAGAATGAGACAGAGAGAGAGAGGGAGAAATGCGTACCAAGTGCGCACGGATGAGAAAGACAGAAACAGGGAGTGAGAAAAAGATAGAGAGAGAAAGAGAGAAAAGGAGACAGGGAAACGATGCGACGAGGAGAAAAGAGGAGGGACACGACGGGAATGAGAAAAAAGCGAGTGATACTACGCGAGAAGCGGCGTGATAAGGGACGCCGAGTTTCCTGCACCGCGAACGACAGACGGACCGCGGCTCGCGCGCGTCTGTCCGTCGAACTGATCAATCCACCGACGATTTCGCGATGATGTGCTGCGTGTGTTGCTGGTCGTCGTCACATAATACTCGCGTCCCCGAGTCACCGCCGCGTGGCGCGAAAAACGGAGCACTCCGATCCGCGGAGGACGTGGCGCGGCGGTGCGTTCGCTGCAGCGGTTGCAGTCTCTCGCCGAGGTAGAGAGATCGTCCTCAACCTCCTCCTGCTCCTCTTCTTCCTCCTCCACCGGTATGTTCCTGCTCAGGATCCGATCGAGCAGGCACTGACCCCACGAGACGACGTCGGAGCGAAGGAAAGGGTGAGAGAGGGACAGAGAAAGAGCAAGAAAGACAGGGGGAGGGAGAAGAAGTACGAGGAGGAACGAGTGGAGCGCGAGGGAAAAACGGCAGAGAGAAGTCGAGAGAAAGAGAGTGAACAATAAATAATATCGGGGAGAAGGTAGAGAGGAGAGGAAAGAAAGAAAGCAAGGAAGGCACAGGAAGAGGGAGGGAGAAAGGGAAGAGAGAGGAGAGAGAGAAAAAGAAGGGAAGAATGAAAAGCAAGGCGTGACGAACGGAGACGAGAAAAAACGGGGAAACGGATCGCGACGAGTGTAATAACAACAACAACAACAACAACAGCGGTCGCGCGAGTTACCAAAGTCCTTACTTGCGCTGCGCGACGATGTTCCTCCTGCCGCGGCTCAAGAGGGAAGAGGGAAGATGCTTAGCGGGGCTTGTCGGTACGCGCACTTGGCCTTTCGAGATAGTACGTGCGTCCGAAGGCGCGCAATGTCGTTCGAGATATATCGAGAGACGTGATCGACGGCAACGGCAACGATGCGCGGCGGCGGCGCGCTCACGGAGGCAGACGTGACAGCGCGTCGCGCGCGCCTGTTTAGAATATACTGAATATATTTTGATCGGAGCGCTCCGCCGAGCTCCGCCGAGCTGCGTCACTCGGGGAACTTCGGGCGCGCTCGGCCGCGCTCGGCCGCGCGAACCAACCGCGACGCCCGGCTGACTGCCGGCAAGGCCCGCGCCCTCACTCTGTCGTCAGCTATGCACCGTGCAGGTCGATGCACCGCGCTCGCTCTTCTTGGCGCGCCGCGTCTCGCTACGCACTTTTAAGCCCACGATGCTCGTTTTCGTACTTGTTGGATGGAAATACTTTGTTCTGATTTGTGTATTTCTGAGATAGATGGAAATGCACCAATCAAAACGGAGTAGCAATTATATTCTATCCAGCAAGCAATCCAGCACGAAAACAAGCATCGTGTGCCGCTGGTTTTAGTCCCTTGTCCAACTTTCTGAGTTTATGTGTAAGTAACACTATATTCTGTACCCCGCAAGTGTACATTGTACACTGATAAACAAAAAATAGAAGAAACGTTCAATAGTCGGTATCCTTTTGCACGGATATTGTCGGATATTAAAGATGTATGAATATTTAGAAGAAAACGAATAAATAGATAATGAATAATAATTGATAAATCATTAATAAATTATTAATAAATCCCCGTAGAGAGACCTTCATATTCGATGGATCTGGGCAAGGATACCAAGAAAACTGGTAAGTGTGGTAAGTGTGCTTACTGGGCACTTTCTTCTATTTAAACATTTATTTGTGCCTCCCCATCTTCGCTGTGAATAATAAGCTTTATTTCACGGAAACTTTTTTTTCATAGAAATAATCTTTACACAGAACTTCTTAGACAGAAATAATTCCTAAATCTCGCAAACAAATTTTTAAATACTTTTTTTCAACTTATTTTGATATGCGTGTAATCTTCATAAAAGGTACTAATTATTTTATAGTATGAATAAAACATTTTTTTTTATATTTTTCCATGAATCTCTTTCTTTCTTTTTTTCAGACTATAAAACTTCGAGCATTATGTTTCTAGTTTTACTCCGCTTGCACGCCACTCTACGTACAAACGGAGTTAATTCCCATTTCGTTTGATCTTTTTTATCCTTTTATATCCTAGAGAAAGAATGTATAGTGTGTTTCGACTTTTAGGTTGAAAAAACGATATATTCTACAGGATACACGATACGCTATTGTAAAAATATTACACAATCTGCATGGTAAGCGATACCGTTAATCGTGCTTTGTTAATCGTTGTTATCGATCACTGACAAGCGGTGGAACATAACAATTTCAATCAAATTCCGGCTCATTTAAAAAACACGCTGAAACAACAGAACCATGCCCTGTAGCGTCATTAGTTTGACAATCGTTCGTACTTCAGGGAACTGTAAATTCCGTGAAATTATTTACTAAAGCACAGAGAGAATTGTTAAAGTACGAAACGCTAAATCGCTTTGCGAGTCGATAAAATCATTTCACGCGTATTTCGCGATTCTCTGAAATCTCGGAACAGCATTAACTCATCGCAATCTGGCACGATTAAGGCAAAAACAATCTTATTATTCGACGGATTATTCTCTGAAAAATATAGCTTATATAGCGGATTATTGCAACTGATATAATTATTATAATAATTTAAAAGTAGCTACGCGCGTTGTGCATATCGGAAATACGGAAATTCTGATCTCCTTGCCATCTCCATCTCCAGAACCTTTATTTCCCCGGGCCAAGATCTTATCGTACGTTAGCGAACGTTAACGTTATTCTGATATCACCGTATAAAGGCAACTCCACGACGCCGAAGCATTGTCGGGCATGCACGTTCGCGTGTATACATTATGCAAATTGATTCCATCGATTGGCCGCCAGACTCAGCGCGCGAATATAGACTTGTTGCACGTTTCAGTAGCTCTATTCCGGTCTGCGGAGCGTGCCTGTTCTGTAACTTGCACTCGCCACGCAATTCCAGAAAATAACGTCGTATTAGGCAAACAACAAGCGTGACAACGAGTCTTCCAGCGACGTACGAAGCGTCACCGCCGTGTTTGCGCAATACGATCGCTCTCTCGCTCTCTCGATTAGAGTCGCTATCGCGAGAGAGATAACACTTGTATTTCTATTTCTTTTTCCGCCAAAGACACACGGGAGACTATTTGTCTCATGAAGAAAAAAATTCGAATCCGAACACAAGTCTGCAAAGTATCAATGAAGTCTGTAAAGTATCATTTCCCGCAAAATCGCTCCTGTGTGTCGCTAAAATCATATCTCGAGATATAATCACACACGTGACGCATACGCCAATTTCACTCTCCCGTAAGCTGCTCGTCGTAGACGCAAACGACATTACTGCTCGGATGCTATTTCGATCGTCTCATAAACGTCCGGATCGGCGTTTCTCCGTGAATCGCTTCGACTCCGCTATCGACCAGTCGCGCGCAATTCGCCGCGATAAAGCCAGCGGCGTTTTCCCCGGGTTTGCGGACGATTAAGGGTCGTCGTAATTATCTTAAGAGGCCTCTTCGTGGGAGCGGTGCTGTCGCTGCCGATTACTATGTGTCGCCAACGACGGCGCCGCTCTTCTCGCCGCTAATGCGAGAGCCATTATGCCTACGGTATGTAAGCGCCCGTCGCGAGATATCGCTACACACACTCTTATACAACTCGGAAAATTCGCATTAACGCGAATGAACGATTCATAAATGTCTGTAATCGTCGTTCTCGCTCGTGAGCGCCGCTGGTAGCTACGAGCTATAAAGCAAAGTGTCACTAATCGCACGGTTTATTGTATCTTTTCGTTTCGCTCCGGCGTCAACAAGCGCGACTGTGTGCGGAATGGCTCGGCTGAAGCGGCAATGAGGGGAAATGTGTGCTTTCTCTGTCTTTCTCTCACTCTTTTTCTCTCTCGTCCAAGTTTAGAGAATCGATTTTTGCTCCCGCCGACTGAGTTTTGCCCTAGACTATTGTACGCGACGTCCTAACGCCCGATATGTTACACTTGAGCGATTATATCATCCTTCAGATTCATGAAAAAAGAAAGTTCTATTGTATTATATGTGAATATTTGCATGCAACGTTCGCATTGAACGATTCGCGAGCCTGTTTGTGCACGACTTCCCTATTAAGCGAGATGCGAATGCCGAAGATGGCGCGTGCGGACGTGACGGGAAAAAGGAACGGCGTCGATGACGCAGATCTCTTTGTTGCCTTCTACGTCGTGCAGCAAGAAATTCCTCGAAGGGATTTTTTTCGCCTTAATAACGTTTAGTCCTGTGCGAATGCGGGAATGCGTTTGCCGCGCAAAACAGGAAGGAAAGGGGAAGAGGAGGGGGACTAACAAGAGATACCGAGGAGAGCTCGAAGTGCCACGGCGAAGGGTAGCCATTAGGATTCGCAGTAAATGATAGGTGGAACGACATCATCGATCCTTATCGCGAGCTCGAGCCTCGCTATAAAGAGAGCAGCAAACCGACCGGGTTACCTTGCCAGTTACCCAAGAATCTTGCGGGATGATAATGAGGGACCGCTATCTCATGCCGAGGCAGCCGTAATTACCTGTTGGTAATACACGGTTGTCGTCGGCGCGATTAGCGCCGTCTTCTTTCGCGGGTTGTCGCGGCCTGTCGCAAATTGCCGGAATTGGGTAACTGGACACGAAAGCTATATTCGACATTAAGTTTCTACTGACGCAAACTAGGTAACAGACGGGAAATTTTCCTTAGCTGCGCAAGATACGACGAATCTCTCCCGTTGTGAAGGTTTTATCAGCGGAGATCTCACGCTCGAAAAAATTTGAATATTTTCAAATTTTGACAGAAATTTGAGATATTATCTTTAAACAATTTGAAAGATATTATCTTTGAACAATTATGAATCGTGCAATCATGGCTTCGTACTTAGCAGTACTTAGACTTGTATTAATCTATAGACCTGTATTAAAGTAGATCTATAATAGTAGTTATTTGGTTTATCTCACGTGAGTATCTCACTTAAAAGTTCAGTAACGACAATTAGTAACTGAATATTACACGACTTCAGCACGACAGAGTTCCATTATGATACATATAGACACATACAAAACTTTTTTACTAGAATAGCGTTTAATGAAATTTTAAAGCTTGTATAATATTACATGAATAGACACGAATTTTCAGTAAGACAAAAACTTTGAGACATTGGAACAAAATCACTGAAACAATATATACTTATTAAAATTGTATTTATACGTTTACTTTTAAAAAAGATTGAATACAAAAGCAGGAATAGGTACGAGACTTATTTCAATACTGTAAGGATCTTTTCGTTTGTATATCTTCCAATATTGTTCGAAGCTCTTCGTCTTCTAACCGACCTTCTAAACTAGGAATGAGTGCCTTTGCCTCTTCCGGAGTTTCAGGACACAAATTAGCGAGCGAGGCAAGTTCGAATTTGTGCAGCTTCTTCTGCGCCAACAAACTGTAACAATGTGAAGTGTTACACACTAAATTTTCGCAAACTGAGATATAAATAAATTAAATCTGTTTACTGCATGTTTCATCGTTTACTATACAAATAATAACTTACTTTCTAACAGCTGTGATTGTCTCCTTATTTTTCAGCTTGCCAAATCGATTCGTGTACGTTAAGCTCTTCATAAACACCTCGGAAAACTCTTGTTCTTCCTCCGCGGATTCGTTTTGGGCTTTCCTATGCTCCAATAACATGTAAACTTCCGATATTAACAGTGTCTCTGCGTTTTCGAATTCTGGAAAAGTTTGTCGTCTCAACAGTTGCTTAACTAATACTTTATACAACATATGCGGATCTCTTGCATGACACGAGGCAAGGAGTCGTTGTCTTTTTAACGAATTACTCAAAATATAAAAACTTTTTTCAATAGACGTCAATCTCTCTTTCCATATGATATGTAGAAATGTATCTACTGGATCGATCAGAATGAAGGACGACAAAATTAACTGGTTCATCCAACATTGAGAAGAACATGTGATTACACACGTATCTTACACAATACACATTATACGTACTATGCTCGTACAAATTTATAGAACTACACGAACATGTCATTAAAATCTTAATAGCATAGCAATCGTATATGCATAAAAATATTACTTTGTCGCTAAGGCAATATCATGAGGTCGGTTTATTAATATATCCTTCTTCCGCCAGGAAGTCATATATCTTTCGCGTTTTGTTAACGTCAATTTTCAGCAATGCACGAGCCTGCGCCAACTTGAGGGAACCACTCTTCTTGTTTTCGGCGATCAAGAGGTGTTTGAAGTCTATGTAACTGGACGGTACTATCCTTGCGACAGAGCAGAGCTCTCTTTCATCGAAAGTCAGCTTTTCATAGCCTGGCAGACTCTTTATCGAAAGAGGCGGCGCAACTTTGCGTTGCAAGCTGGTACCTGGAATCGGATTGCTACTATTCGTGATGTAACCAGGCAGCACACTCTTCCAGCTGTACTCGGGATTGTTCAGATACTGCTTCCTCTCTCTCTCGTTCTCCTGGCGCATCTTTGTCAAGTTCTGAAACATAGATACGCTGTGGAAGTGCGTAAGACCGTTTCTGCGGAACTCTAATAGTGTGTTGATATTATTCTTTAGCTCGCCGACATGATGAAGACCCTCCATGATATAATCGAAGTCCATTCCATCCATGAGCTGCATGAAAATCAACAGTCGCTCCGCTCTGGGGATCGTGTTATCGAATCGTTTTATCCACGAATTGATCTTGCGCAACGCAATCAGCCCATGCCTGCGGATTATTTCATATCTACGCATTCGCTCCTTCAACCTGTTGTTGTACACCTGCACCATTGCCACTTGAAGAGCCCGTCCTAGTTCATACATATTGTCGTCGGGTTGAAAATCGTCGAGATCAAGATCAGCGACCAACGATTCTGCATCATTGTCGAAATTCACCTCGAAGTCCGAGCGCGCCGCGTTGTAGCCTGCCACCAGTTTGCCATTGGCCGTGTCCGGTGCGAACCTGGGCGGCTCGTCAAGATCTTGCAGCTTGTACAAAAAAGGAATCGGATCACAACTGAATAAGCTAGTTCGGTTCTCTTTCAATTTCGGCAGATCTGGCAATGTCTGATTGTCCACGTAGTGCTGCAGATAATGCTGCTTGCACTCCTTCGCGGTTCTACCCATCGCGTGGCTTATGTCACTCCAGTTGCCGAAACCGCATTGCAGCATCAAGTCAAGCAGCTTTGTCTCTTGCATGGCGCTCCAACCGCTATCGAACAGCGGGAACTCGTTCTTTATAATCATGTAGTTGTGATCGTTCTTGTGCGTGTCGATCTCGCAGCCTTTGGCGAAACAAGGCAGACATATCTCGACATTCACGCACACGGCGCAACGCACGTATGGCTCCACCAAAGTCGACTTGCATACACGACATGTCGGATCTGAGATAGGGATTTCGTCCTTGAGGACTGATACCTCGAGGTCAACATCACACTCGGACTTAGACGTTTCGCTTAGTGGATCGTAGTCTGAAAGAGGAAAATCGTGACCTTAGCCTTCTGATATTCGAATTAGCAGGCACTCCTAAGATTCTGCAACAGCGCGAGAAGCAGCTCTATTCGGCAGAATTTCTCGGAACTCCGTGTGTGCGTAAGTTGGGAGGTGCGTTCTGTTTCATTTTTTTAAATCTTGTCAAATACATGCACAAATATGTTATCAAGCCTTATACAACGCTTCTTCTTGTCGGATTACGGCAATATGGAAAGAGAGTCTGACGAATAAAATGTTTGAATTCTAAGAATAACAAATGTAAACATTACTTTATCTTTGATTAACTCTCATTGCTTCTGTTATACAGCATGCATACGATATTCAGCACTAGGAAAGAATTGGAATGTTTGTGATTTTAATAACAAAATCATAATCACACATATATTGAAATTACTTATAATGCTTATTATGCAACAGTATATACCTTATCATATATGTATACATAACGATATATAACACTATACAAATAAGAGGTCTGTTCTTGTTGGTTGAATTGTTTGGATTAATGCACACTGGTGTGGTAAGTTAGAATGAGACAAATATATTTTGTCTGACTCTAGCTTCTTGTAATAGTCTGCAGCAGATCAACAAAAAAGAACATATTTAAGATAAAAGTACTAATAAGATAAAAGTAATCTGATAAGAATGAGTGAAACACAAACATACACCTTTAGCAACAAAAGCTGGTTGTACTAAGCATTTGCTATGTAGCTTTCAAAAGCGCGAGTTTATAAGATATAACGTAAATAAATGTGTTTTTACGTTTCCTACGTGTTGGAAGTAAAATTCGTCTGATTTGAAAGTTTCGAAAACTTATAGATATCATCTGCAGGAGTGCCATAAGAGTGAGGTTAGGTATACAGCGTACCTATTCGTCTGTATCTAATAGTCACAATTGGTTAGAAAAACGAACCTTTCGGGAACTGCAAGTCCGCCGCATCTTCCTCCGTCATATCCGTGAGATTCGGGTTCGCCATTTCGTATGCTTAACACCACGAGGTGGACATTCACATGCACGATACTCAATGCCGCCTGACAAACCGTTGACTACGCACGTTACGCACTCTCCATTTCGGCGTCCCTCAAAATATTCATGGATGCATGTTGCGCAGTAACGTGTGCGCACCATCGTAGCAGCTGCAAAGAACAGCGACGTGATGGCGAAAGACGCGTGAATTTGCTTAGTGGCGCGACCATGCGGCAGCCAGATGAAGATCCCACGAAAATTTGCAAGACCCAGTCGGTAAAAGGCATTTCTGTTATTTGTCAGGTAACTCGTATACCACGTATTTAATTCATTAAATTAATTCTTCGAGTTACTTGTTGTACCATATCTATATTTCACATCGATCGAGGAAGTATAGGAAATTGTTCTAACTTAAAAATAAAGTTGAATTAAATTAAATTAACTTTACGGAAATATAATTCTTTGTGTATAACGGAAATACTTTTCGGAAATGTTTTCATAAATCTCTCGTTCAGAGAGAACATGTTCTTTTGCAAGGCCACACAACTGAAAAATATACAATATGTACCATACGGAAATTTATAAATTAATAAAAATCGTACTACATCTGTCAAACTTACGAAAATTTCGGCGAAAACTACGTCACTGTTGTTCGCACAAATAAATTGACAATTGACTGCAAATTCAACAATCAAACTATCAGACCCTATCCAATCATGAACTTTCATTACAGTCATTCGAATAACGTATAGACGCCGCACTAGGTGCATCCTGAACGTTGAAATGGCCGCCGCTTGGAAATGCGGGATAATTAAAGTCAAGTGTAGAGCGATAGCATCGGAATACCTAATCGAGAGAATCCGCGTTGAGGCCATTAGAATGCGCATTGTCGCCTCTCAGTGAGAAACAATAGACGTGAGACCATGAAAAAAGACCGGTACATGGCAAAGAGAAAACAGAAAGAAATTATATAGGCTGCGTGTTATTATGTCGCTCGATCTCTTTTCTAACTTTCCCTTAAAGACTTGTACCGCCTGTAAATATCATTATACCGCGAAAGCAAAACACTGTCATGTTGAAGGTGTGAGAAGAGAATCCCGAACAATGAGAGCGTGGATTCACTTACAGTATTGTCGTCAATGAAGTAAATTATATGCATAAATGAACAATTAAAATGTATAACTCTTGCTACATTATTCAATTGAACTTGCATGACTTATCGACTGCGTCCCACTAATTAATAGCAGGAACCTTACTAGAAAGAAGGAGTCCTAATTAAACGCGGCGTATGAATTCTGTGTGTACTGCAAATATTTATTCCACGATTAAGAGATTGTATTAGACGACTATCATTCATTATATTTCTTTACATGTCGAAACGATGCTCGAACTGGCTCTTTCGCAAGAGCCATATACGCATAATAATAGCATTTCTAAGCATGCATATTAGTCGATACGTTCCGTGAAAGTGTCGTGTAAAACATCCCAGGTAGCACAAAATCTTCAGAGAATGTTCTTGGACGTTCTATGTATGAATGTCCTCAGAACGTCTTTAGAACATCCTTTGTAGATTTGTGCTGCATGGAATATTTCGAATACGCTAATTAACCGTTTTTCTTGACAAACATAAAAACGTGAACGTACATGAGGAAAAAAATACTTGAAATTTTATTCGCGAAATATAAGATTTATTTCTGTGAAATAAAGCTTACTTCTGCGAATATTTTTTATATCGTACAAATAAATTTTGAAGTATTTTTTCTCCGTGTAGCCATTATGTTCGCTTCAACGACGGTAATAAATACAGTGATTAATTATCCGACAGGCTCTGTGACCTAAAAACAGGATTAACCTTCATGAATTACAGGATCACATATATCGATGCTGCTTGCAAGATGCCGTCTATGTCTCTGGAGCGTCTCGTTTGCAAAAAATTCCTGCAGTTTTAATATAACTAAATTTCCCGCTTTATTTAATTAGCACGACTAAATTCCCCTGGAAACTTTCCAAAAAGAATCTATCGAAGCGCTCATGCATATTGAAACATGGAGGAAACGATTTAGCTTCCGCTCCTCCATACATCTCCACATGCGCCCGTTTCCCGAATCGCGCCACGTTCACGCGCGACGCGCGTCCTGGAAACAATAGAAACTCGCGCGAGGCACGATCATACGCGATGGAAGTTTGTTCCGCGTTGTTCTCGCGCAAGGGTGTGCATTAACACACGAAGAGCTCGCCACACCCGGTCGCGGTAGCCACGATCGACAAGCGTCGCGCATGAGAAGTCAATTTCCGTGTTTCCGACGAGGTGCTGACCCGCTTAAAAATGGAGATAACACGAGACGCGGAGCCGGACTTCGCGAACGCAAGGACGCTGCATTTCCGTGAGATGATCGATAATAAGAAGCAGCATGAGGAGATGTCGCTACACGATGACATCTTCGACATCGTTTACAGGGACACCACCGTCAAAGGGTAAACTTGATCTGTCTGGCCTGTCGACAAAATTTGACAGAAGCCTAGGTAGTAGTTTGCGATACTTGGAAATTTCCCGTGGATGTTATCGCGTTATTCCTTCTCAGCTACAGTGTGTTTATTTTGTGAAATAAAGTATATCCACGGGAAAATATCATTCTATTGCTAAGAGAAACAATTATTGAATTTATTTTCCTTCTTTTAAGTTATGGTTTTCTTCAAGAGAAAATATTTTCTTAATAATAGTCTTCATAAATATATTCATCATATTTGAGAAAATCTCGTTATCATGTACTCAAAAAAAAGATTTATTCTCTTTATAAGAATATTGTAAAACTTTATTGAAAAAAAAATTGGTTCGATTTTGTGCAATAAGCAAATTCTCATATTAAATTTCTCATATAATTTTCTCATATTAAATTTAATATTCTCCAATTTAATATTCTTGAAATGCTAAACTTACTAGGATTCAGAATATATTTTGTATAAATTTGATACTTATGATGGAAACCTGTAATAGATTTGCGAATATGTAAATTTGTGAAATATTTGAAACTAGTAACATTTACTCGAATGCAATATATATTCTGTGCGTAGAAATCGTAATGAAATAACAGACGTTTATAAGATTTACGTATCGCTCGCGTGTTTCTCCAGCCGAATCTTGCCGACACTGGAGAATCGGTAATTGATAAAACGCAACATTGCTTCTCAGACCGTAATCGATTGCTGGAAAACTTTTAATTGCCGTAATCGTCTATTAAGCAAGTTAAGTTCGTGGAAAGCGAGCGTCTAAAATTGCAAATGAGAGTTACGTTTCATTATCTTCCGTCGTTATCCGACGTCCTTCACGAAGGAGATTCGTAAAATTTACGTCCCTAATGATTGATATACAAAGCGTTACGTCGGCGAGTAATTAACATTATATCGTAAATTACGTCACGTGCATGCAGCTGACGCATCGTTAACCAGCGAGAAAAGATTTCGACGGTAACTCATTGTCGCAGGCTTTTAACGATTCCTGGTGTTTCCGTATGAGGCAGTTCGAGTGTCGAGGGTGTCGAGGTCGATCGTTTGATCTGACCGGCCGACTGCACATACCAGACTATTACCTCGACGCAAACGCGAGCCATCTTCTCGTAACGTCTTCCGGCAAGATACGGTCTATTAACGGCAACATCCATGAGGCGAATCGCGTTAACGAACTACCAGTAACGCGTAATGAATTGCTCGTTACATTCTGCATGTCTTATTGACGGATTAAACGTAACCGCTATATTTAATTGACACTTATTGTCAGCGCGCATCGCCAAGTTTACGGCACCTTTAAGCGCGCGCGAGAGATACGACGTCGTCGTCGTCGTTTATTATCCGGCAGTAAATTCTGCCGAGCGCAACTTTAATGAAAAACGAAAAGAAGAAAACAAATCAGCCGACTCGAAGCCGGGGGATTTCGTGAAAGGGTCTGTGATGGGGTCCGACACCCGACACATGGTGAGCCTGAACGTCGGCATTACATGTTGGTCTCCCATCGAGTGTAAGAGACTCGTCTCTCCCTTTCTCTCTCTCTCTCTCTCTCTCTCTCTCTCTCTCTCTCTCTCTCTCTTTCTCTTGATGGGGTTATCGGGCCTTTTACGGTTCAGTTGTGACTCCAATTTATCTCGTTAACATCGCCGCGGGCATACCTACATAACGGTGCACGCACTCTAACACCGATCGGACCCGGCTCGGGGACTCTTCCTTCCGCGGACGATCTCCAGCCGAAGCTGCATATTGAATCGCCGGTTAGGGTTGTCGACCGAGGATACTCGCGAATCCGCGGACTCGAGAGATTCCTCCGCACGCTCGCAAAAAATTCAGGACAAAATGGAAACTTCTCGGAGATACTTTTCGCTAAATTGCGCTCTCACTCTTTCCAAATAAATCGGTAGGAAGGAATGTTTCACCGGTATTCAATGAATCTCGTTGAATTCTATCAGTTCAAGTAAGATTTCACTGCAAAATTTGTAGCACGCAAATTCGCTACACGCTTTGTCAAGTACATACAACTTTCTGTGTCTGTGGCGATGGAATTAATAGCTTCCTATACAATTTACGTGCAATGACACTATCTATGCTTACAAAGTGCATCGATAATAGAAACAATCGTCACTTATTAACTAATTTTACTGATTGCTCTATACTTATTTTTTGTCGTTAATTTACTTCATTAAGGCTCATGGCTCTTCGCCAAAGTGGCCATCTTGATTTACGACATCAGAAACGAGAAAATACACGCTAAAAACTCTTACAAAATACATATAAATAGAAAGATGTATCCATAAAATCAGCTGCAATCGATCGAGTAGATATGTAAAATTGTCCGAACATTCCTTTTGTTCTAACAATCAATAAATAACCGTAAAATAAAAGTGAAGAAACTCATGAGGAAGGATAAGTTGCGTGTCGTGTTAATTTTACAGAAACTTATTGATTTTTAGAACGAAAAAGGAAAGCATTCACTATTCCACAGATATATTTGATTCCTTGCATATCCTTGCAAGAATTTTTATCGCGTATTTTCTCAGTTCCGACGTCATTAATCGAGAATTCCGCGATGAGCAGCCAGAAGACTTAACTTTATTAACGTGATATTGCGTGTTGTCCGAATATGCGAGCTATATTCTGCGGATATGGAATGTTATATTTTC